CACTGGTTGTACACCCCTATGCTATTGTAATACTACTGACTTAAGCATTTCTGCTCCTAAGGCTTAAATCCTATACCCACTTCCCAGGAATAAACCCAACTGAACTTTGGAGCTTACTTCAGAGTACACCTATAGAGGCCTAAATCTTATTGTTAGACCATATTCAAATTTTATTCAGTGGGTCTACTCTTGTGACTTACCAACAGGATTCCAGCCATAGGATTGCACCACAAATCTGTTAAGTCTTTTAAAACAGGATTTCTTAACCAGAGCTCCCTGGAAGCCTGTTGTTCCATGAGAGGTCGCTAGAGGTTCCACAAAACATCAAGATAGAAAGAAAAATAAACCTTTGCATGCTTTTTATGCAAGAGATCTGAAAATTAGATCAAGAGTTCCTCCAGGGTAAAAAGGTTGAGAAAGGCTGCTTTAAGGTATCACTAAAAGACTACTTTGCTCCCCACAAAAAAAAACAAAACACCAACCTTACAGAGGTTAAACTTCTGGAAGTTGCCACAATTTGAGTTTATCACTTCAATGAGAAAAACTAGGTCAAATCTGGATTTACAGCTAAAGTGGCAGTGTGTCCTACTTTAGTCTGGAATATCAGGATGCAAAGGGATCTGGTAGCACCTTTGAGACTGTGTGAAAGTTGTAGCATAAACATTTGCAGATGTGGCCTGCTTCCTCAGGTTCATGGAGAGCATTCACAGAAGACATTCCTCTACTTGAAAGTCAATCCAATTCCAGTAAGGCATAACACTTAAGAACTGTAAAAAAGGAGAGGAAATACATACTTTTAAGATGTTCATCAACAGGTCTTAGTCAAGTGATTATGGGTCATTTCCCCTTCTCTTCTGTTTATACCATAAGAATTTATATCTTTAAATTTGCATTAGATTTCTACTGGCACATGCCAACTGTATGCAAATGTATGACTTCTTTTCAGGTCAGTTTTCCTCTTTGGGGCAATGGATGCATGCCCATTTTCTTCACAGTATTGTTGACATAGAACAAAGAAGAGTGCATCATTGTTCAGTTTATTATTTATATTTCCCTTTTCTGACAAGACAGTGAAAGTCTATGTGGTGGCACTTGTGAAGAGCACCAAATTGGGATCTAGGAAATCTAGATCTACAATAAATCCCCAGGAAGGGGCTCTACCACACTCACTGAATGACCTTGGGCCATTCTGGGGTGCATCTACACTGCAGAAATAATGCCGTTTGACATCATTTTCAGGGCACCAGCCTACAGAATCCTGGGACTTGTAGTTTGGTGAAGGCCCCGTCCTCTTTGTCAGAGGAGGCTAAAGATCTTGTAAAACTACAAATCCCAGGATTCCATAGGATGAGGCTACAGCATTTAAAGTGATGTCAAACTGCATTATTTCTACAGTGTAGATCGGGGTAGGCAACCTTTTTGAGCCGGGGGCCAGGTTGCTGTCCCTCAGACAATTGGGGGGCCGAAGCACCATAAATAAATAAATAAATAAATAAATAAAATTTTAAGAAATTTAAAAAATATGCATGCACACACTCTCAGCCCCAGAAAAGCCATGGCAAAACCCCTGTGGAGTGGCCGGTCCAAAGGCCTCGGAGGGCCGCATCCGGCCCCCGGGCCTTAGGTTGCCTACCCCTGGTGTAGATACACCCCAGTCTCTCAACCTGCCCTACCTCACATGCTTGTTGAGAGAAAATAGTGGGAAACAAGAAAGGCATGTAAGGCTAACTTGAATTAATCAGTGAAAAAATGGAATAGAAATTCATGTAGGGGGTTCCCAAAAGTGCTGTTAAGAAAAGAATATGACATAAAATATAACATGTTCTAAAATACTGGGGGTGCCTCTGCACTGTAGAAATAATGCAGTTTGACACCACTTTAAGCACTGTGGCTCCATCCTATGGCATCCTGGTGCCACAACACACTACAATTCCCAGAATTCCATAGCATCGACCCTTTGATTTTGAGTTCCTGCATGGCAGGGGGTTGGACTGGATGACCCTTGTGGTCTCTTCCAACTCTATGATTCTGTGACCCATTGCAGTTAAATTGGGGTCAAAATGGATCATTGCTGCAGTATAGATGCCACCTAAGAAGCATGAATTGATATTTATATTAGTGTTTTTATCTTTTCTTTGTTCACGTCCTCCATTTTTTTTTAGGGATTCTCTGTGGCAGGAAAATCATAACACTCATGGTGGCTGAGAGAAAAAGACAGCATTTAATCCCACTTCAGATTTATGGTGGAGCAATTTGAGCATTGGGACTCTGGAGACCAGGGTTCAAATCCTGGCTGGACCACGGAAACCCATTGGGTGGTCTTGGGCAAGTCACACTCTCTCAGCCTCAGAGGATGACTATGGCAAGCCCCCTCTGTGTGGATGCAGCCTCAGTCATGCTCAAAAGGGAGGACATTTGGAAATTCTTTCTGAACAGGCTGAAATGGAGGCTCTGTCCTGGAAAAGGAGGACACCTGGTTACCCTTAATGAAGGATACTACCAAATAAATGTTAAAAACAACAACACTCATATAAATGTAAATCCATGTTTTGTAGTCAGGCTCAAAATGGGGGGCTTTCTGGAATTCCTCCTCAATA